TTCGCCACCTTCTCAAATTCCGATCTCAGAGTTGAGAGAACAAGACACTGCCGCTGTCAATACTATCTCAGCCGCTCCACCAACCGACTGCAATGAAACGTTTCCGATCAGCTGTGCTGTACCGCCAGGTCCAGAAGGTCGGACTCATCATAGTCTGCATGAGCCACAAATGCTAAGTTCTGTAGGACTGAAATCTTCACAGGCTTCCTCTGGACCCTACGGTGACGAACATGGTCGATCCGCTTATGCGTCATGGGCCAGTACCAAAGAACGAGGAGTAAATGAGTATGTGAAGGACTTGCAGGAGGCTGGAAGGTACGCTTTGTGGGCACCGCTGCTGCATGGTGCATCTACGCTAGAAGAACCGTCCTTATTGTTGGGACAGATTCGCTTCGACGTGACGGCAGATGACCAGCGTGGGTCTTGGCTGTTGCCGGAAGAATTGTTGGCTCAGCAGCGAAGGCCAGTCGATGAGGATGGTGATGATAGGCAGCTTTTTACCAACACACCAATTACTGAAGAGGAGCAGCAGGCAATAGACCATGTTTTGATGCAGTTGCTGGAGGTGCAGAGGCAAAAGGATGTAGGGAATAATGCACAAAAGTTGCCAGAAGCGTTACTGGGGGTCCAGCCCGCCTGGCTGGAACAGCTGGTTCTGCGATACCTGTACAGTTGTTCTTTTGACAAGCAGAAGACCTTCGACCTTTTGCAGTCCACTCTTACTTTTCGCACTCAGCAACTTCCCGTGAGTTGGCTTAGTTTGTAGTTGTAGCGGCTTGCCTTGTACCCGCACACCATTCTCACCGTGGGAGAAGTGTCTCTTTAGCGAAGTACATTCTGGATTGTCCATGCTATGTGTGAATCTACCCACTTGTTTGAACAATTGTTTGCGTTTTAGGTGCTGGAATCGGAAGTTTATCATGAACTGCGCAATATGGGCGCGTGCTATTGGCACGGAAGGGACCGGAAGATGAGGCCACTGCTTGTCGTTTCACTTCAGAGGCTCCAACAGCTGCAACGAGAGGCAGCAGTGGAGGAGAAGGTGACACGTCTTGTCGTTTTTTGCCTGGAATTCTTCCTAAGGTCAGTTGCGCAGCGACGGTTATTTCCCCATGATGGGAATCAGTCAGGAACAACCGTTTGGCGTGCGCAGCTAGTGTTTATTCCCTGTACAAGTGGAAACACAAGACGACACTCCCGTCGTTCTAATTGCATATGTTTTGCCCATATACCACTTCCACTACGCAGGTAACATTTTACCGGCCACCTGTGCTTGCCGTGGCCTGTGCAGATACCTCTGCGTCGCGGGAGTCGTGGAAAACTGGTGCATCCTGTGCGATTTGAAGGGAACATCAATTTTAAGTTTCCCATTGCCATTGCTTCTGAAATTAGTGCAATTGATCCAAGGGTCATACAGAGGCCGCCTTTATCGTTTCTATATACTTTACGCACCACGACTATTCCACTTCATAGCCAAGCCTTTGGTCTCCTCCCTACCGGCAACTACGGCAAAGAAGCTTCGAGTGTTTACAAGTCCTGATGACTGGCACCACGAACGGCGAGCGCAGTTCGCTGGCCACCAGCTTGAGAAGAAGTATGGGGGCACAGCTCCTGACATAATCGAGGTACTCACGATTATTCGATCCAACTACCTTGCGGCATTTCTTCTTAGTATAGTAGAATTTGTGTAGACCATTAGAGACGGTTAAGCCAGAGCTACAAAATGTGTTGGGTGTCGTATGTTGGTCCGCTTAAAGGTGGTTGTGGTGCCTCTTCTGCGCAGAATTGGTACCCCTTTCGCTTCTTCCCAGGGCCATTCGAACCAGAGTGCGAAGCAGGCCACAGTGGCGCTAGTCAGACTGG